TTTTTATTCTTTTTGGAATACTGTGTACTGAAGTCTAAGAACATGGGAAAACACTGACATTTAAAGTTTTTAGATTGTTTCAACTTTTAAAAATGTAGCAACTTTTCTATGATGCCAGTATTTTATTGAACAAGTCATTAAATACAGAAGGTTGCCTTTATAAATTACATTAAGCTATTATTTAGTTTATCAAATGCTAATTATTTTGCAATATATTTGTATTTTTTGCTAAGTAGGGCACTTTAGGTATATTACCTTATCATTTGATAGGCATACACTCAGAATTGGTCATTCTTAAAATGAACACAGCCCTCAAATGTTTTAGAAAAATCCCAGTAAAGAGCTGTAAATCAGTCAGGGTCCCAGCAGGAAACAGATGGCACACTCAAATTAGGATCATTTGAGAAGGATTTAATAAAGAGGTTATTACAGAAGTTTGGAAAGGGTTTAGGGAAATCACAAAAGATAGCACTATTTTTACCGCTATACTTGAAGCGGCAAGGGAAGGGAATGGCTAGCAGAACCCAGGAGGAAAGGGTTGTATAGAGTAGGCTACCTTGAGAGGAGCTATGACCTTAAGTTGAAAGACAAAGTCAGTCTGAGGTGACCCTACAGAGAGGGAATCAGGGGAATAAGTTTCCCAAATTCACTCTTTGCCCTCTTTGTGTGATTTACTGCCTGGCCTTCCCACTATTTGAAATTCACTATTCAATATGGTAACTGCTGGGCACAGACGGGTTATTGAGCACTTGAAATATGATTGCAAGTGTAAAGTACACCCAAATTTTAAAGACTTAGTGTAAAAATACAATGGCAAATATATGTTAAAATTTTGCATTAATTGCATGTAGAAAGGATAATAATTTGGACATACATATCCAATGCATTATTAAATATTAACATATATATTATTAAATATATATTCACCAATATATGTAATATGTTATATATAAATAATATCTAGGCTATATTACTAAATTAATTTCACTTTTTAAAAAATTTTTAGTAAGTGGCTACTAGAAAATTATTAAAATTTAAAAAATATACATATAATGTATATCCTATCCCATCTTATCCTATCCTGCCCTGTCCTATTATTTCTATTGGGCAGCACTGGACGAAACTCATCGGAAACTGGAGGATATGGGAATCTGTTGATGCAGTTAATTACAGGTCAGTCTTCTGTATCAGAAGTAGGATGGAAAGTGGACCAGGAAGGGCGAACAGTGATACCTGGATCAGGTTGTTAATAAACAACATGAAAAATAGAAAGACTTACCCTAAGTGATAGAACTTCTTTCTTGATGATTTCTGTTGTTGGTCTGTGGAATTATTTGTCAGGAAACATGTTAGGACATGCCACATCACATGAACACTAGTAATTTTTTTTTTAAATAGCATTGTGGGTGGACCAAAAAACAAGCTGAGTCCTTTCTGATTCTAAGTGTTAGCCTTTACGTGTGTCCCATTTTGCCAAACCGTAAATGTAAATTGAACTTCGTATTATAGCATCCAAACAACTGGAAGGCAGTTAAACATGGTTTTTCATGATGATATTTCTGAGATTTGATTTTAAAAAATCTTTCATTGAAAATCTTTGTGTAATTTTAGTCATTCAGGGATTTATTCAGCAAATATTTACGGAGTGCATTTTTATGTTCCCTCATTGAACTTCCTGTCTAATAAGGGAAGAGAGATGCTTAGTAATTAAGCAAATAAATAATATTAATTTCATAGTTTTGGGTATTATACAGGAAGAAAGACAGGCTAATGTGATAAGTAGTGACTGGAGTATGATTGTGAAATATTATTAGGATTATGAAATAATTTTCTATTGTATAACAAATTACCATAAACTTAGTTTAAAACAACACCCATTTATTGTCTTATATCTCTGTTGGTCAAAAGTCTGGCACCATGTGGCTGAGTTCTCTGCTCAGAGTCTCACAGGGCTAAAATCAAGGTGTTGGCTGGTTTGAGTTCTCCTCTGGAGGCTCTGAGGAAAGAGTCACTTCCAAGCTCATTCTTGCTGTAGGCAGAATACACTTCCTTGATCTCTTCTGTCTTCAAGTCAGCAACAACTTCTCAAATCCTTCTCATGCTTCAAATCCTTCTAATGCTTTGAATGTCTGACTTCTGTAAACAGCCAAAGAAAATTCTCTACTTTTAAAGGGATCATGTGATTAGGTAAGACCCACCCAGCTAATCTTTATTTTAAGATCAACAGATTTGGGACCATGATTCCATCTCCAAAATCCCATTCACAGAAGTATTTAGATTAGTGTTTAGATTAAAATTTTGCTTATTATGGTTAAATCCCTTGCCTTCTAGTCAATTCCAACTCACAGTGACTCTATAGGACAGATAGTAGAACTGCCCCAAAGGGTTTCCAAGGAGCTGCTGGTAGACTCAAACTGCTGACCTTTTGGTTAACAGCCAAACTCTTAACCACTTTGCCACCAAGGCTCCTAGCCGTAGATGGTTAGGAAAGAAAAGTTCTCTCTGAGGAGTTGCCATTTGAGTCCTGAATGATGAGAAGAAACCAGTAATATGAAGATCTGGGGGGAAATATTATTGGCAGAAAGAATCACAAGAAGCAAGACCCTGAGGCAAGAAAGAGATTAGCATATTCAAAGAACAGAAAGAGACCAGCATGATTAGTGTGTGTGGCATGGAGAATATACAACAATGAGGTCAGAAAGTAAGCAGAAGAATTGTAGACCATGGGAAGGAATTTGGAATTTATTCTAATTGCAGTGAAAGCCATTGGAAGGTTTAAATGAGAGAGGGAAAACTTAACAGTGACTAAAGAAGATCTCTTATTGGCTGTAGAGCACTCACTGAAATGCACTTGAGGCCAAATTCTGGTGTAAGGATTCTGGTGTCTCCGTGGTGATATATCACACAGAAATCAGATTCTTAAGTTCTTCCTCTCATGAACGCAAGATTTGTATTTGAAGTCTATTTCACAGAATTTGTTTTCATAGTTTTGGATCTATAATACACTACTGATTATAGTTTTATAAAATGGATAAAATAAACCAGATATTATAGAGAGAACATTAAAAATTAAAGCTTTAAATTTCCTAATTGTATAGTGTTTGATAAAGTGAAGATCAGTGCAACTAATAGTAGAGAGATTGTTCTTTAAAAGCTTTTATATAAGCTTGTGGTAATAGCTCAGATTTTCTCTCACAGGAGAAATACATATGCTTTATCTAGATTTTGAAATTTATTAGTGCAAGAGGCCACTTTCATTGATTTTTTCCACTTGAGTGAGTTTCTCTTTCTTTTCTGTACCCAACATGCTGGATCATCTACATAGTATGCCAGTAGCACTGATATTTAAGATGATGTACATTTTAAAGTAGGAATTCCTTTAAAAACTACAAAGAAAATATCATTTCCAGAAGTCTGAAAGCTTCTAGAAGCATATAGACCGTCACATTCTATGAATTATTGCATTTTTTTTTTGTGCAAATGCCGATTTTAAGTATTAGAGTTTACCAGAGAATGATATACCATTAAACAATCTGCTTATGGCCTTATACTTTCTATGCTTCCCAACATTTCTACTCAATTCCTCTTTTACTGGAGACCACTTTCTTGTTTACATTCTTCATGTATCTTCTCATTCCCTCTTCCTCTTCCTGTACTGTCACATGGTTTTCCTTGCCATATTTTGCTATTTATGCCTTTGCACAACCTTTGAGATCAATATCTAGAAGAAAAATCCTATCTTTTATCTACACTCTTAAGCCAGTAAGCAAAAGGCTTGCTCTAGGCAAAACTAGGAAAACTTATCCTTTACTGTCTTTTCATTTTTCCTTTAAGTCTTTTTTTTTGCTTCTTTTTAATACCTCCACTCTACCAAGCAACCAAGAATCTCAAGCATTCTCTTCCTTTTCCAACATGAAAGCTCATGCTCAGCTACATCCTGCTAGAAACATTGAATGTATTTTAAAATTAAAAAACTAATGAGTAGTTTCATGTGTGCAGAAAGTGTCTACATGTTAACATCAGACAATTGACGAATTCAAAGGACTAAGACTTTAATCATGAAATATTCAGAACAATCAGGTTAGGTGCCCACCATGCCCAACATCCTTATGAACTGTCCTGCTAAGGAAAGAAGCACCGGGCTCTTTCTGTTCTTTGTGCAGAGTCAGCTACTAATTTGACCAGAGTGGGCACCTGTTGCAACTAAACCAAACCCACTGTCTTCGAGTCAATTCGGACTCATAGTGACCCTGGAGGACAGAGCAGAACTGCCCTATAAGGTCTCCAAGGCTGTAAATCTTTACAAGAGCAGACTGGCACATCTTTCTTCTGTGGAGTGGTTGGTGGTTTCAAACTGTCAACCTTTTGGTTCACAGCCGAGCACTTTAACCACTGTGCCAGAAGGGCTGCTGCAGCAACCAAGGCCCACCCATAAAAATGCTGATGACCCTTGAGATGGATTAATACAAAAAGTTTTGTCCAAGAGAGGTAAGATAATGAAGTAAGACAATCAGCCTATCTCCTTCTAGAATTTTTGCTGGAGATTCCTAGGAGAATTTCCCAGCAAAGGAGCAAGAGCAAGATGAGCAGGTCAGTCAGGAAAAGCAGAGATACCATAGGTAATAAAAGAGAAAGTAGCTGGTCACCAGGTGTTTGGTTATTTACTGCTTCGTAAAAAATTACCACAAAACTTAGTATTTTAAACAACAACAATTTTATTTGCTCATGATTCTGTGGGTGAGCAATTTGGGCAGATCTTGGTTGGGCAGTTCTTCTGTTCCATTTGGCATTGGGTGACGCCATTCCCTCAGTTGTACTCTCCTGGTGATTGCGGTGGGCTGTTCCAGGTTCCAAGAAGGATTTACTCATATATTTGCCATTTCAGTATTCCTCCATATGAATACTTTCCTTCCACATGGTTAACCTGGACTTCCACACAGCATAGTGGTCTCAGGGTAGCTGTAATTCTTACATGGTGGCTGGCTTCCAAGACAGTGTTGCAGGAAAGGTGGACGTGGAAGCTACAGATCTCTGAAGGTCTGGCACAAACTCACTTCTACCATATTCTACTGGTCAATTCCTGTGGTTGGTCCAGTCTAGATTAAAGAGAGTAAAAATAGACCTCACTTCTTGAGGAGAGGACTAACAGGAATTTGAAGAACATCTTAAGTCACCACACCAAGGTTAGCTCAGAGCAATATAGCTTTCCAGTTCTGAGTTTTTATACCATGCAAACAGAGGATCCCATCAGACAACAGATATTTTTGGAGGGGCTGATGAGAGTGTTTTTTTTTCAATGCCCCTTAAGTCATAATCTACAGGCATTCACTCTATTTATTATATTTATTATCAATGTTTTGCTTAAAGCATTCCACATATATAAAATCTCTCTAGATCAGGAGAATAAATAAGGAATTTCACTTTCCTTAAAGCTCAGCAAGTAATTATTTACCCATGTGATCACCTTTGAATGTATTTAAAAATTCTTGAGTTTAAAGAACAACAACAACAAAAATGCATATATATAAAACTAAAAGATATTTATGAAAGATTTCTTTAAAAATTTGTACAGAGGAGAAAAAAAGACATCTGGCCTGTTTCACCATTGATAATATGAGACATAATAGGATGAAGAGGGAATATTGCAAGGATTGTTGCTGTTGGGTGACATTGAGTTGATTCTGACTCATAGCAACTCCATGTGACAGAGTAGAATTGCTCCATAGGGGTTTCTAGGCTGTAATCTTTATGGGAGCAGATCGCCAGGGCTTCTTCCTATGGGGCCTCATCGGGTAGGTTTGAACTGCCAATCTTTTGGTTAGCAGCCAAATACTTAACTGTTGTACCACCAGAGTTCCTTATTACAAAGATTAGCCATTTATTTTATTGTGCCTAATGGATTGGCACTAAATGCTTTTCTATCTGAAATAACAAGGGCTTTCCAGAATAAATACTGTTTTCACATTTCATGGGCTGGAAGTATACTGAAAATACTTTCAGCATATGTCTAAGGTGCCTGGGGGAGTGGATGGGAGGAGGGGAAGAGGGGTACAGGAGGGATATGCAGTGGCCAAACTGGAATGACCTAAAGTGAAAGAGATATCCCTGTTTATTTGTGAGAAACAAGACCCAAGTCACTTGTGGACAGGAGAAAAGTCACATCAGGATTAGATACCTTCTATCTTGGCCCTCTTTTTCAAATAATTCCAAGAGAGGTTAAGAAACTTACCCAAGTCACATAATTACTTGTATAAAGCGACTTGAATTCATGTATCTACCATACCACACATGAAAGTAATATATTGGATGTTCCAAACATCCCTTCTGGTTTTGACTTGCTATTTATGAGACCCACTTCCCTTATGGGGCAGAGGTGGTGCAGTGGTAGAATTCTTGTGTTCCATACTGGAGACTCGGGTTCCATTCCTGGACAATACACCTCAAGCCCAGCCACCACCGGTCTGTCAGTGAAGGCTTGCATGTGACTGTGATGCTAAACAGGTTTCAGTGGAGCTTCCAGCTTAAGACAGACTAGAAAGAAAGGCCTGGTGATCTACATCCAAAAAAAATAAGCCAGTGAAAACGCTATGGATCACAATGGTCCAATCATGGGGCTGGTGCAGGACGGGGCAGTGTTTTGTTCTGTTGGATGTAGGGTTGCCATGAGTCTGGGCTAACTTGACAGCAACTAACAACATCAACAACTTCCCTTTATGTCTCTCTTTAAGGTAGGCTTTGATGTTTATTTTGAAACTATTTCATCTGTATTAAATCAGGGCTTCTCAAACTGCAATGTGCAGATTCTGATTCAGTAGGCCTGCGACATGGTCCGAGATTTTGCGTTTCTCACAAGCCCCCAGTTACTGTCAGTTATGGTTATCTGTGGAACACAATTTCAGTAACAAGGAAATAGGTCATTGGGGTATCAAAACTTGTACCTCAAACATCTGTGGATATCACTAGGAAATTAATATTAGGTGTAAATGACAAATGAATTCTACTTTCCTAGGCTAGACAAAATTTATTCATTTTTTTCAACAAATATTTATTAAGAGCTTGCAATATGCCAGGTATTGTTCTAGGAAAAGAAAAGATGAAATTTTTACAGTTATTTCTCTTTTTGTAATAAAACGAAGTGCCACATTTGTGGTTATTTGGAGTCACTTTTGATGTGCCCAAGCAGAGTTGCTTTCTAATCCACTTTGGAAATATGTATATTTAAAGACCTTTTCCAGGAATCAGACTCTTCTACTCTATCAGCATATTGTTAAAGTTCCTAGAATTTAGAAATCGTTTTGGAGGTCATTTTCAGTGAAATATTATTCTGATATAAAATATTTCACCAGTTAAACAAGTGGAAAACATGTTTACTTTACCCCACAGGAGAAAATCAGCCTATGGTGTACGGAACTTGAACTTGTAAAATGTACACAGAGTACGTGTGCGACCCTGGTGCTAGGATCCCTCATCTGCTTCCACAGCTGCTCCATGTGGCCTTTTGTGACATAACCCAGATCAGGGTGGACCTGCCAAGTAACTAGCATTGCCCAGCATCGACCAGAAAATGTAAGCTGAATTATTCAGGGCTGCTATTCCTCACTGCAAGGGCAGCAACCTCAGCATTTAGAAATCCACAAGATACTTCAAATGTCTAATTCCACTGCTGACAGCAAGGGATGAGCTTTGCTGAGCTCTGGACCTCTCTCGACACATCTCCAGAAGGTGCAGCTCTGTAGCTATCGGTTGGTGACTGTGAGGGTGAAAAAATAGCAGTCGTGCTATTGCAACAGTGATTGCCCCAGCCTCTTCTTTCAGTTAATGAAGTGTTGAAAGTTCAAGACCTAAGTCATTGGTGAAACTAACAAGAACCAAAAGAATTCTACTTACTGGAATAAAGCCTTTAGGATTTAAAGCTTTTTTACAATCATGCTTTGGTAGAACCTTGTTTTGCATTCATTTACTAGTTCACTATTATTTATTCCTGCATATCTTTGTATTACATACAGTGCAAGCTACTTGAGATCAAAGATGGCGCCATCTTCAGCCCTGTTTCTCCACTGAGCCTGGCTATAGCTTTATTCATTATAAATGCTCAGGCTGCTTATTGAAACAGAACGTTTCAAAACAAACAACGTTTCAAAAACAAAACTGAAGTACAGAGATATTAGGAAATTTTTGCCCAAGGATGCTCAACTAGTAGGCAAAAAGGGATTCAAATTCACATCTACCCTGACTCTAGTACAGTATGTGACCCTTCTGAATGGAGCTTACTCCAAATGACAAGTAGAAATAGAAACATTGCCAGTTCCAAAATCATATCGCAAGGGTGCAAATCTAAAAAAAAAAAAATCAAACTGGCATACTTTTTCTAATCTGGAAAGTATATTTTCATTTCTGATGAAAATCTTTATAGCAGAAAAGACTGATGAGTAATAGGGAATGTAATATAATTCCATACAGATAGTCTGTGGTAGAAGTGAAGAGAGAATTTCTATTTACTGACTTCTCAAAGGATATATTCAACTTAGTAGGCTTTGCTGCACCCCAGGCGATGCCATATCACCTTTAGATATCAGTGAACTTAAGTCTACTCTTGTAACAATAACAATGGGGATTTTAAAAGGATAAACCCCATTCCCATCCTATTATTCATAATCCAACATATCACATTCTCCTGTCTTACATGATTTTACATAGTTGAATTACAATGTAGATGCAATTTTTAATTCTGTAAGCTTCAACTGGCACTATAGGTTAGCCTTTTTCCTTCTTGCTGAATAGTCTTCAGGTTTGCAAAATATTACATGTACTTAATGTTCTGTGTCATAATTGAAACATTCCATCATTTTTGAACATTTATTTCTTCATTTCTTCTTTCTCTCGCTCCCTCTCTCCCTCCAGTTTCTTCCTTTATTTCTTTTTGTTCTTATAAATATTCTGAAATGGCCATCTTACTCTATATAGGTCATCCTTTCTCCCTCCCTCTCTTCCTCCCTCCATTTTTTCTTGCTCGCTTCTTCCCCCTTCCTTCTTTCCTTTCTTAGAAATTGTAAGAAGTGATTCAAAAACAAGAATATTTCTGCAACTCTTGAAACCTCTTGCCAAACTGTTTTCCAAAAGTTGTTCCAATTTACAGCCAAATTGGAAATGCATTGGGGTACCATTTCCTTATATCCTCGCCAGAATTGTTGCCCATTATCATTTTAATTTAATCCTACAGTGTTTCCTCATAAGCAACAATTACCCCTTTTGGGGATGGTTCCTTTAAGAGTTTTTCATCTTTTAGATTGTTAGAGAAGTTAGCCTTTTGAAAATTAAAAAAATGCTCAATTATCTGAACTTCATTTTTAAGAGATATAGTAAACTACCAAACTCAGTCTGTTCTCCACCATATCTGCCCAGGAGCCATGAGACACATCTCTGCATCTGCCTGATTATTCCCTTCCTCACTTGTCTAATCAAAGCATTAGGCTCTTAACGTCAGTCGAGGGCTAGTTTATTCTTACCATAGTTGAATTTGCATTTAGAGGTTCCCATTTTCTTTCTCTTGAGGTTTCCCAATAGATACCACAGAATAACTGCTCCTGTCCCGACTGGCTGTAGAGAAACCTTGTGGCTCAAATTACAAGAAGAGCACTAACTTCCAAAGAACTGGGTGTTCTTACTTGCAGAACTAATCAACAACTAGGACTGATTCAGCTGCACGCATTCCCCTTTTTATGATGTTTCAGGGGAAGAGGATGCTGGGTTGATGATGAGCATGACTGAGAAGTCATTATGTTACATTCCTCTTTTTTTTTTTTTTTAACGTTATCACAATTTTTTATTCAAAGGTTATATGTGAATAATGTTTGATTTTTAATTTTGAGAAATTTTATTTTGGAAAACTTTAAACCTAGAGACATATTACAATAATAATATATGATGAACATGTGTATATTCTTCATCTATATTCATTAGTTGTCAACATTTTGTCACATCTACTTTATCTCCTTTCCTTTATATCACATTTTTTTTCACCTGAACCTGTTAATAATAAGTTGCAGGCATCTTGTCACTTTACCCCTAAATACTTTATAAATTTCAGGCATCATTTAACTTTACTTACCCTAAAATACTTCAGTATATATCTCCTGATAATAAAATATTCTCCTACACAACCACAATAGTATTCCTACCACTCTCAGGAAATTTATCAATGACACAATACTGTTGTCAAATATATAGCCCATATCCAAGTGCCCACTGCTGACCCAATGCCTTTATAACCTTAAAAAAAAAAGTCTAGGATCGTATCAAGGATTATGCTTTCTTTTTAGTCTCTTTTAATCCAGAACAGTTTGAACAGGCTCCAGGTTTTTTTTTTTTTGTCTTTCATGGCCAGGCCTCCCCCACTATTTTTTAGAACATGGTGGAAGATGTCTTTCTGATTGTTTTTTCAATCTACTTTTGACATCCTTTCTCAGTTTGTGTCTTTCTTTTATGTCTTCTCTTCTCTGTATCCCTATGCTACCCCTTAATTTCTCTAGAAAGCCCCTTTGTTCTTTTTTTCATAAATTTTTGTGAGATAGATTTCTTTTACATTTTTTTCTTTTCTTACCCATCTTTTCCCTTCCCTGTAGGCACTCATCTGTTTCCTTGAGATAATTCTATTTTTAAAATTTATAATTGGCTAGTTGTTACTTGTCTTCCTTCTGACTCTTTAGCATTTCTTTCAAGGTTATATACAACCTGCAAAGACAACTCTTTATTTTTATGACTATTCCAAAGTATAATTTAAATTCTCCTTTAAGAGTTTTACTTGCTCTCTTTCATCTTCCTCCCTCCTCACTTTTCAAGTTGCCCTAAACCAGAAGTTTACTTTTATTAAAATTTTGTTTATTTAGATAGAATGTATTATCGTCCCCATTTTACAAATGCCAAAACTGAGGCACAGAGAACTTGAGTAACATGTCTAAGGTAATTTATTGACAGTAAGTGTCAGCTGCAAACTCAGGCAATATGTTTCCAGGCTTGAGCACCTAACTGTTATAATATACTGTCTCTCTTGATCTTAAGAGCTTCAAATGCAAATGATGCTCATTCTCTCTCTCTCTCTCTTTTTAAATAATATTTTATTTTGTTTTCGGTGAAGATTTTACACAGCAGTTTAGGTTCCCATTCAATCTATACAGATTGTTTAGTGACATTGGTTACAATCTTCACAATGTGTGAATGTTCTCGTTATTTTCATTCTGGTTGTTTTGTTTCCATTAATCTAGTTTCCTTGCCCCCTTACATTCTCATTTTTAAAAAAGTAATTGTTGACCATTTGGTCTCATATAGGTGATTTTTTAAAGGAGCACAGTACTTACGAGTGTTATTATTTTGTGAGCTGATCTGTTATTTACCTACAAGGTCACCTCAGGGGTTAGTTTCATTTCAAGGTTTAAAGAGTATCTCTGGACAATAGTCTTGGGGAGTCCTCCAGTCTCAATTGGTCCAGTAAGTCTTTTTTTTTTTTTTTTTTTTAAGTAATCTGAAGTTCTTTTCCACATTTTATCGCATTCTATCATGTCAGAGTCCATCTATTGTGGCTCTGATTTGAACGGTCGGTAGTGGTAGCTGGGCACCATCTAGTTCTTCTGGTTCTCTTTGTTCTCTTTTACAGAAGTGAAAACTAAGGCATATATCTGCTTGAATGATTTCATCATGGTTACCCAGTCAGTGAAATGTCAATAGCTGTCCAAAACTACCTTTGCCTCAAAATGGGAATTCCTCAATATCACAGATATCCATAGTGACTGTGTTAGATTCCTACAGCTGCCATAACAAAGTAGCATAACATAGGTGACTTTAAACAATAGAAATTTGTCATCTCACAGTTATGGAGGCTAGTAGCCTGAATTTGGGCAGTTGGTCAAGCCGTATTCTCTCTGAAGGCTCTAGGGGATGATCCTTTCTTATTTCTCCTGGTTTCTGGTAGCGCCAGGCTTTCCTTGGCTTGCAGCTGCAGCATAACTCTGTCCTCTCCTGGCCTTTTTCCCTCTGTCTGTCGCTCTGTGTCTCTTCTTTCTTACAGGGAAACTGCTATGATTGGATTAGGACCCATCCTAATTCAGTATAACTTCATGTTAATTTAACAAATTACATCTGCAAAGACCCTATTTCCAGACAAGGTCATGTTTGCAGGTACCAGGGGTTAAAACTTTAACATATCTTTTTTGGGGGTTACGATTAAGTCCATAATAGTTACTATTCTAAAAGCATGGCCATTGCTGCTGAGACTTCTACCTGGAAATCTATTTACAGCTAAACTGTTTGGTCACATTGCTTCTTCTTGCCAATGTGAATAGGCAAGATGGCTGTCTGTAAGTAATGTTATATTGTGTATGATTATGGAATTGTTTTTCTCTATGAAGAATTAAGTCACTTATATCTGCCACCGGCAAGATATTTGTAACTAATTAGCATTCTCCTTTTAAAAATAGAAAACAGCACTAAATTAAACTCTACATATCTCTTTTATGATTATTTTAATTATAATTCTCACTAGCATGCTAACAATGTCAGGATGGCTATTGCTACAAAGTAATTTTTTAAAAGGGCACCAAGACTAGAGAGAACTTAAGTATAGTCAATGCCTAAAAGGAAAATAGATAATTGAAGTTTTTATTCATGTTACATATGAACTCTATTATCAGTCAGCATTCACTTAAGTATGGGATAAATTTTCAGCTGATGGCCCAAGTCTTAAATATTTCAGGCACTGCTGGAAGGGAGAACTGCAGTATACTGTACTTGAGGGATAATGTGTGACACCATAGTAACACTGTATGAAATTTAAGGCAGTTAGGAAATGATATCTAAAACGTTTGGAAGACTTGGGACTCCGTTTCATGAGGTTGTGTTTCTGTCTGCCTCCTTTTCAGCTATGTATCAGCTAACACATCAAACACTGATGGAATGAAATGAGAAGACGTGTAGGGCTTCCTGAGACTGGCTAGGGAGTGAGGATTTAGGATTTACTTTGATCTAGGTCTGACACTAAAACATAATTCATCCTGACAGTCTGAAGAATGAGAATAGTCGTTAACACCTTGAAATGATTACTTGTATGAAAACCACTGGAATCTCTAATAAAATCTCCCCTGCTCTTTTAGGGGGCAACCTACCAAGAAAGGGATCACAGCTAGGCCAGAATGTAAGTCTGCCAATGCCTTATCTCAACAATATGCATTGCTTTAAAAATATGGTGTAATGTACTCCATCTTAAAAACAAATTCTATAGGGAATCTCTTGAGTGAGTCTAAACATGTAAGGTGATGCCACATTTTTGTTGAAGAGGATTTATTATTGAAGGACATCAAAGTATGAGTTTATTTTTAGCAGCAGAGGTCTGGGATATACCCAAACACGAGCATTAGGGAGATCACTAAATTCGAATGAGTGGTTTCAAGTTATCAGAAAATGGTAAAGGAAAATTGATAAAGGAGAAAGCAGTACAACCTTGTGAGGAAGAGGTTGTTGTTATTAGCTGCCTTTCAGTAGGCTCCTGGCTCCAGGCAACCATGTGTACAACAAATGAAGAAACACTGCCTGGTCCCGCGCTATCTTCAATTGGTTTTCTTGTGCTTTTGTGATCCATAGGGTTTTCATTGGCTGTTTCTTTGGAAGTAAAAACAAACAAACAAGCAAAAAACCTTTTTTAGGTGGATTTCCAGGCCTTTCTTTCTAGTCCGTCTTATTCTGGAAACTCTGCTGAAACCTGTTCAGCATCATAGCACTGCGCAAGCCACCGCAGACAGGTGGTGGCTGTGCTTTAGGTGCACTCACTTGGAATTGAAACCGGGTCTCACGTGGAAAGCAAGAATCCTGACCACCACTGAACCCTTTCTAAGGTAGTAACTCTACTACAGAGCTACCAACGTCCTTGGGGAAGAGGTAGACTAAGGCGAATGACTTATGTTTAAAGGGGGACATATGTTATATTAGAGGGCTGGGAGAAAAGTACAACTGGAATAAAAACTGAATTTTAGTTTTACAAAGGAAAATAAGGACTGAGGAAAAAAAAGGAAAACTCTGAATGTGAAGTAGTTTTATTTCAAATAGCATTAAAAAATTTTTTTTTAATGAAATAGAAAAAATTTAGCTTAATGTATGTCAGATTGGGATTTGGGTAACATGTATATACTCTCCTATACATCTGGATGATTCTTGACTTATGTATAGCACATACCTATGTGTGTGTGTGTATATGTGTGTGTGTGTGTGTGTGTGTGTGTGTGTATGTTGCCATGGGAACCATCTTCCTGGGCTACTGTGAAAGCTATTCTTCCTTTGATCCTCATGTTCAGAGTTCACAGTGACTTAGGACTCAAAGAACTTAGGACTTGGTACTCAGCAGTTGGATGGTCCAGATTTTCAACTGCATATGGTTTAAATAGAGTTTTTATGATTCACTTGGGAACCTTAACTATAAGCAGAATTTTTATGATTCACTTGGGAGCCTTAACTATAGATTTAGTAAAAAAAAATGTTCTGACTCCAATCAACTAATTTATGAATGCTCTTTGGAACACATTTTCTTTGTAATCTGAATGCTCCTAAAAATTTCCTCTATGTGTTTAAAAAGACATGTAATGTGTTGTTCTCTAACAAGTGTGAATATTGTTTGGACTATAGATGATATGCCCATTTTAGGGCCCATTGAAGGGTGTTTA